GGGTTAAATATGTTTTTGGTCCCTTAACTTTCAGCGAAAATTGGAATTAGTCCCTCTTCAAAACTTTGGACTAATTTAGTCCCCAAACTCTAAAAATGTGTGAATTTAGTCCTTTTAACCAAATTTTGTTAACTTTATTTGATGTTTCAAGTGCGTTTCATGATAGCATTTGAGTTGTTTACACTGTTTGACACATTTTTGCTTCAACGTTCACTGATAAATGTGTTTGAAACATCAAATAAAGTTAACAAAATTTGGTTAAAAGGACTAAATTCACACATTTATAAAGTTTGGGGACTAAATTAGTCCAAAGTTTTGAAGAGAGACTAATTCCAATTTTCGCTGAAAGTTAAGGGACCAAAAACATATTTAACCCAATATTTAATTTATTTATTTTTTAATATTATTTTAGAAATGTGTTTAAAATATTAAATAAATTTTAATAAATTTTGATTAAAAAAAATAAATTTATATTATTTTAAAGATGAGAGACAAATTAGTTTAATATTTTGAAAAAAAAAATTTTACTTAGATAAAAATATATTTAACCTTTAATAATTTGATAAAGAATAATTTTTTTTTGTTGTGATTCCATCGTGCTGAAGAATTCAGGACATTTTTTATTTTTGTGATAATATTACTAAGAAAAGAATATGATTAGTGAATAAATTTGAGTGGGAGAAATTGTTATTAGGAAGGCTCTCCATTCGAAAAACACTGGTGCTAATGCAAATATAAGTCAGCCAACCCATCAGGTACTCCTCACTTTTCCTAAACAAGACGTGGAGAAATTTGAGTCACTTGTGCATTTTCTTTGAAACCGGATTAGTAGCAGTATTTCTAATGAAATCTGCTAAATTTTCATGCAACTTTCAACCGAGCACTGCAAAATTTTAAATATTCTATAGTTTCCACGCCATGCGATGCAGATATTTTTTAAAGTGTCGGCATAAACATTTGCCAAGCAAACTATGAAATTTCAAGTGGCTGAGCTGATCAAGTATTTAAAATATATGACTTTTGCAGACATTGTATTATATTATATATTTAGGTAGTATTTAATGCGTGTCTTCAGAAAATATGACATGTACTTTTCTGATAACCCCACTTTTACTTATATCTATCTATTTATTTATTGTATAAAATAAAGTACTATAGATAACACATACATCAATACTAAGAATAGAGGACGATCGTATTTACTCTGGATATATATGTCACGTAGGTTCAATATGATAACTATCCAAATTGTTTTTATGATTTTGGCAGGCTCAATTCTAAAAATAGAATATTTCTACAACTCTCTCACAATTTTTATGATGGGATTTAAACCATGCAACACTCATGGAAATTTTTTATTTTATTTTTTCTAATTTGGATCACCTAATGTTCAATGAAGAAAGTGCATGATATGATTAGGTAGATTTTATGTATTAAAAGTTACATTAGTATTATTATTATTATTAACTATTGATAAATATATGTAATAGTTAATGTCTTTCAAAATATTAATATTAAATTTAAAATGAGAGACTAACATATCATTATCCAATTATCACAACAATCTATATTTTCAATATAATTTTTGTGTAGTAAACATTTTTTATAGAATAACTTTCTACATATATCATCAAGTATTGGTAACTCTTCACCTTCTATTTGATATCGAAAATCTTCATCATTCTCACCGCTTGATACCTTTGTCAATAGAATTGGAATGTCATCCAATTCTCCAACTTTACACAAAACATAAATAATTCGTTGATATCTCCATAACTGCTGCCTACTTTCACGTGTATTCATCAAATTAATATCACTTTGATTATTTCATACAAACAATTGTAATGTTTCATTCAATGCATAAATCATAAAATGCAACACTCATTAATCACATTTTGCGATTAGATATCATATTCTCAAATATAGTTACATGATAATTATGAGTAATGGAATAATCAACATTTAACGTACAAAATCAAGGATGGAGAATTTAAAAATATTGGATGTAAAACAATTGGGAGAATGTTGTTTGAGCAACTATTCACATAACCTTAGTGATAATATATGCTTCCTATATCTCCCTTGAGTATCATATTAATACTTGAGTGAAATATTCACGGAGGAAAGATAATTCTTTTGACCTATTCATCGCTTAAAACAAGCAACAATATTAGCACCCAAACCTCAAATACAAAGTTAATAATTACTTTTCATTTTTGAAGTTATACATCATTTATAATAAATTAAACCAACTTACATAACAATATTATCACTTTATTGAATCTGTGAAATTGATATACTCACAAGTAGAGCAAAAAACAATATTTAAAATAAAGAAGAAATACTCTAAATCAAATTCTGGAGAGAATATCTAGTATGCAGTCTTCTCTCTTAACTAGAAAGATCTATTTCAATAAAAGACAAAAAAATAGCTTAAAAAAATAACATTAAAATTTAAAGAAATAACAAATATGATGATATTGAATAGAAAAACTATCATATTATTTTAACATGTTATTTATTGTAACAACATAACTCGTCCTAGTTGTCTTGTCACTTATTTTAAAAAGAGAGGTTTAACTTGGTTGAATCGAATAGTATAAACATTCTTTCTTTAGGTATTATTTTAATATAAGTCTGTAAATTATACCAGTAATCAAAATATTAAAAATTTAGTTGATTAAATTTTAAAGTTTAAATCATATTAATTTTGCAATGCTTATATAATTTAAAAAACGACAATATAAATAAAATATATTTGTTAATATTAATTCATTTTACAATAAGTATCAATAGCTTTTTCATTTAACATATTACGTGTGTTTATCGAGATATTAAATATATATTATTTCGGGATAGGGTTGAGATCCCTTATTTAAAGCATTTAAAGTTGTTCTGGAAACTGGATAAGCTTCCTGATGGTCTTCCGTTATCAAAGTTGTGATGTTCGCTCTCTTTACTCTTTTTCCAAGCTGTGTGAGAGAGAATCTGCAAAAGATATTCGACCTTCAAGTCAGTGACTTTGCGTAATAACATCTAATAAAAAGTGAGTACTCAGAATTAGTTACCTGACCTACGTGTCAAACATAAATATTAAAATGAGATTACCATTAGGCCTAATCCATTACTAATAAATAGTTCATATTTTTATTAACTGTCAATCAATTCTAACTACCTCAACGACTATATTAACCAATTAGTTAAGAGTTGTTAATTGTTTGTTTGTCGATTCCATTACTCATACCATACATATATAATGTCAAATGGTAAAATTTTAAAAGATATACACGTAGACTTTCCGATAGCAAAACAGCTAGTGCAGACCAAAAACATAAAAAAGTTGATCTTTCCTCGTATTATTGAACTATGGCTTTTTTTCTTATGTCACTATCCCAAAACGTGCAGTTCACTAAAGTGCCAAACTACAACCACAAAAGGAAAGGAATCAAATTAAGAGGGAGAGATCATTATAAAGGTCAACTTAAAGAAACCACAACATTCTCACTCATACATTTCCCTCGTCTTTTTGTGATACACTTGCATTTAACAATTAAATAGATTAATTTAACCCAACATGAAGCACAAATAAAGAAATAGTAGATTATAAAAATGTGGCATCTTGGTCTTAGTAAATGGGCCGACACAGGACATCATATACAGAGATAAAAGAAAGCACGAAACGATGAGATCATGTTTTGTTTTGTGCTGAGTGAAAATTTGTCCTCATCTTGAGAAATGCGCATTTATGTGATTATAAAGATAGTCATTGAATCTCTATTACCTTCAATTAAAAGGAAGGTAGGTGTTTAACGTACCTCAGTCACAAATTTTGTCCGCTCAACTCGTGGTAAATCTTAGTTGACGGATTTAAAAAAAAAGAAAAAATCATGATTTGTCCACTTTTTATATTTCTTTTATGTGGCTACCGAAAAAGAGTAATCTTTTCTCCCCCAACAAAGCCTCCTCTTTTATGCCAAGTAACCAAATATGGCGTGAAAGAAGGTTAAATGTTTTTGTTCCGGTGAGAAAAGGTGAATGTGATAAAGTTTCAGCTTACCTTTATTATGTAATGGTTAAGTTTCCATAGCAAGGACAAATATTAAAGTAAAATCAGTAGATGTAGAAATATAAGTTTCATGATTTTGTTATAAACTGGTAATTAAACTAAAAGAAAAGTTGTATTGAAACTATGATTGGAATATCGTAAGCGAAAACGTTGATCTCCGTCTGCGTTTAGGATGGAATTTGTTGGAGGAAAATGATGAATAGGAAGCAGAGGTGGAATGTTGATAGGAGACAGCGTATGTCCCATGATGAATCTATGTGTCGAAGTAATGTTTTTCTCTGGATGGGGTTAAGATAAAGGCTAATTGCCTATATTAGGAGGCTTACACTCGAACTTAATGGGCGCCATTTGATTCCCACTACCCTCAATAAGAAAGATACTAGGAACCCAATAAAACAAAGTTAAGGTCCCCACTCGCGGCATATTATTATCAACGACGTCAAAATGTAGTCTAACAAAACTTCCTTTCTCATTTAACAACTCTCACCACATGCACAATCCCAAATGGATATTAGGATTCACACATCAACGTCTCATTCTCTCTCACCCTTCGCTATTCTAATCTATCGGAAAACCACCACCGCTGCCACAGCCACACCACAGGCCAGGCAACAAACACGAGCTTGTTAAAGGATCTAAAAAGCCACATTCATTTTACTACCATTTACAAAATTACATATTAAAAAAAAAAAAGTAGAATATTCGGTTCAACTTTACGAGATTTTAAAGCTAAGATTTTTTTTTTCTACTTTTGTGAAAGGATAGAGGCCGCTGCGATTGTAATGGCTAATGCACTAACAACGAGTGGATGTGGATGTTGTTAATTAAAATTAGAACTCTCTGGGATCAACAAAAATTGAGAATCCGGGAGGGGATTTGGTCCAATCACCAACCGCACCGTCGCTGTAATCTTCCCCGAGTCTCTTGATGCACCACAAATCCTCTTCGCAAGAGAGCATCTTCCAGTGTGGGATGGCGCAGCGTAGGGGCTCCTGCCCTGAAACCTCCGTCGCCACCACCTGGCACCCACTATCCTTGGCGAGGTTATGAGCGAAGGCGCACAAAGCCCTCACCATTTTCTGGGCCCGTGGGCCCTCTCCTCCGAGCCCGTACAAAAAGTGAAACCCAAAGGGCTGGAAGAAGTTGGGGATGGAGGGCAGGCGCAGCCAGGGGAAGGCGCGGTCGAGGAGGCGAGTGGTCTTTGCGATGGCCTTCTTCACGCGCGACACGCCCCTCACCTGGAGCGTGAACACGTCCTTGCAGTTCCACACGCTGAGGAGGCCCCAGGAGGAGGGTGGGTCCGCGAGAAAGCGGAGCGAACCCGGCCACGTGTCGGGGGAGTATGAGCCGCGAGGAACGGCGAGGAAGGTGCCCAGAGTGAGGTGGTTGTTGAGGACGGAGTCGACGTCGCGGGGGAAGAACTCGGTGGTGGCGAACTTGGTGCGGTAGAGCAACTCGGCGTCGTTTGGGGCAAGTTGTATGACGGTGACGTCGGAGGAGGGTCTGAGTGAGTGGGCAAAAACGGGGTTGACGAGGATGGACGGGGTACGAAACTTTGAGTAGCCGCATTTGTCGGTAAAGAGCTTAACGGAAGCCACGTTATCCTTTTCTGTTGCCATGTAAGCGTACTCTGCTCCGTTGTCTCTGAACCACTCCTCCAATCTCTGGACCAGTTTGAACCCTATTCCCATTCTCCTGCACGACAAGACACCCAATAAAAAGCCACACTTAATATCATAATAAGTTAACGAGTGAGTGAGTGAAAATGAAGAAGGTACCTGTGGTGAGGAGAAACCCGGAGGCCCAATATGTAGGCTAGTTTGGTGTAGACAGGGACTTGTTTGGAAGCAGGTTCGGTGGTGTTCTTTCCGTGCCTGTGGAGCTTCTTTCCGCATGTAACGGTTTTGATGCAACCCCTTATCATTCCCACTGTCTCTTGACCAACTTCGGCTACCTGATAAAGACAAATTAAGGATGAAATGTTATTTATTTATATACGCATATGGTTGTTTGATTTATGTAGCGTTGAAAAGTTGGTGAGAAAGACTTTTGCGTGAAAATAGTTAAAAGGATTTTAGGGGTGGATGCTTGCTCACTGGCAACGATAGGAAAAGAAAAGAAAAGAAAAGAAAAAGAAAAGAAAGAAAAGACAGTTGATTATAGTTGAGAATGAGTATAATTATATACCAGCATTAGGAAAGTAGGTGAGTTGCGGACCCTGCAAATAGGGTCACCGTGGAGGTCGGTGAAGAGGGAAAGCTTCCCACTGGGTCCAACCTCACATATTCTCTCAACGGCTTCCACTCCCTCTGTGTCTTTACTTGGGTCGAACTCTCTCACAGTCACCACCACCATGTTTGGACCAATTGCAAACGCTAACTCTTCTCCTCTCATAACTACTCTATGAATGAAGGAGGTAGTGAGTGCTGAAAGCGTAGCTTAACCTTCCTTTATATAGAGGGGAAGGGGAGGAAATTGCAGGTTTTTCGAGACCCGTTGGCAAGTAACAGAAGCTTAAAACCTGAGAAACCCTTCCATAAAACCAGTGTCTGAACTGGATTAACGTTCGTAACTGGATGACTGTCTTCTGGCACCAATCAGGCAACGGAAGTAGAATAATAAAATATTAAGAGGAAAAAGAGCGTTAGTGAATCAGTGAAGGAAAAAAGAAGGGTGTGGTGTGATGCTTCATCCTCTCACTCTCATGGGGCTTCGGTTGAGGTACGAATCCAAATTCTGTAACGACCCTTTAAATACCTGATCTTTTCAAGCTTTTTCTTTTGCCGTTTTTTTAATCTCTCGCACTTTCTATTCCGAATCTGCACCACTTCCGTTATTTAATTCCTGGGTTTAATTTTAATTTAGTAAGAATATCTCTTTATCTGTCCTTTATTTGTTCACTTTGCCTTTCTCTCTCCTGCACTGTATCTTTCTTGGCTAAAGTTTGCTAATAATAATAAAGGAAAATAAATGAATTTAGCAAAAGCAATAATGAGCAGCAAAAAGTAGGAGAATGGAGAAGGAAAGAAAAAGAAAGAGGAAATGGCGGCTATGGCTGCGCAGTACTGTGTAGGTGTTTTGTTTTCCTATTAATTTCTTTTATCTATTTATTAATTATGGAAAAAAAGACGCTTCCCATCATCTCCCCATTCGTAATGATTACCTTCTTTACACTCTCCCTCTTCAATGGGTTCGGTCCCAGCCATGATGCACATCAACAGTTATCATGTGGGATGGGATGCACATGCATATTTCATGTCTACTCTCCATCACGCCATTCTCCGTTTTACTGCTTCTCTTCATTCAAATTCCAGCAACTCTGCTCGCTAACTTCACATGTACAATGTGAACTTATCCCATTCTCAATAAATTAAATTATTTTAAATATCACTTTTCTATTTATATTCTCATAAAACATAATTTATTAGAAACAATCATTAACAATCTCATTATTAGTAATCTTAACTGTGTCAATAACTGCGTGCAATTACAGCTCGTGGTTCGTCACCCATTGTGCATGCTTTTCCAGCAAAAAGTGGGATAGTTATAAAACTGTAAAGAGAGATATATTTTTAGATTTTTGATACAAATAAAATAATAAAAATAGTTTAAATTTTTGTATTTTTTTTAAAAAAAGTTAAATAAATAAAAATAATATCAAATAAATATAAAATATTTAGGTATGTTAAATAAATTTAACTGTAAAATGTAAAATATAAAATAAAAAATTTATGATCCTCGTCTGTTACAACTGCTACCAAAACGGAGCGGTGAAACTGCCATATCATCTCACTACTCATTTCAACTCTTTTCTTTCCGTTCTCATAACTGACTAACAAAATTTTAAGGCTATTAAATCATGAGCAATGTTATTAAATTAATAATTATTATCTCATAAACATGTTTTCACCCCAAGTTTATCAAGATTCTTCAAACTCTAAGGCTTCTTCAAACTCTAAGGCTGTGTTGGCATGATCAGATAATACTGTTCAAACGAAACTACGGGCGATGAATTACAAACTGTGTGATATTCGTTTGAGAGGAAAAAGATGGATCGTCGATGATGGATTTGCAGGATACCCTCAATTTTGGTCACTCTCAAAATCGAAGAGATTTGAATGGATTGTTGCGGAAAAGTCGTACGACGAGGGTGGGGTTAGTTTTGGCTGGCACATGTGTAATAGGTTACGCAAACGGGTAGGCTATACATTATAATTTTTAAACATTAATTTTATAAATTATTCATAATTTCTTTTTCTTTATAAACATTTTTACAATTAAATATAACATTTATAAATAACATTTTATATTACTTTTATAAGTAGGAACTTTTTGGTAATCTTTAATTTCTACCAATTAAACTAATTTTTAAAATCTATCACATCAATCAAATCTTACATTAATTCTCACAAACTTTACTTCCAAATTCACTCTCAATTATCCACAAATCCACTCAAAACAACAACTAAAAAATTATCCTGAAATTCATTCAAATCATCTCTCCCAAATCATCTTCCCCAAATACACTCAAAAGAACAAAGCCTAAGTTTAGTTTTGTGATACTACATAAAAGAAAAAACGGTATTTTCAAATAATTAATGGAAGAGTTAATATTGAAGTATACCCAGGAAGGTAAATTATATTTCTTTTTATAATATCAAATAAATATAAAGTATGTAGGTATGTTAAATAATTATTATTTAACTGTAAAATATAAAATAAAAAATTTATGATCCTCCTCTGTTACAACTGCTACCAAAACGGAGCGGTGAAACTGCCATATCATCTCACTACTCATTTCAACTCTTTTTTCCGTTCTCATAACTGACTAATAAATTTTAAGGCTATTAAATAATGAGCAATGTTATTAAATTAATAATTATTATCTCATAAATATGTTTTCACCCAAGTTTAAGACTGTGTTGGCATGAACAGTTCAAGCAAAATTGGGGGCGATGAATTACAAACTGTGTGTTGTTCGTTTGAGAGGAAAACGATGGATCGTGGATTTGCAGGATATCCTCAATTTTGATCACTCGCAAAATCGAAGAGATTTGAGTGGATTGTTGCATTGATAGAAGTGTCATATAAGTATATGGATACATTTATATAATGTATACTGCTAAACTTGTCTAATTAGTATATGTTACAATTAGTCTAATGTGTATTGCAAGACTCATCTGATTAATGAGTGAACAAACTCGTCTAATGTATATTAATCGACTTGTCTACTCTGTGTATGAAAATACATGTGTAATTTATTTTGCTAAACTCGTCTTATCAATGTATTGACAAATTGGTCTAATGTATGTTGATAGGCTCGTCTAAACAATGTATATACAAACTTGTCTAAATGAGTATCATTAAACTCGTCTAATCAATGTAAAGAATGATTATCTAATATTTTTCTTAAACTAGTTCAATTAGGATATGAACAAATTTGTCTGATGGATGTTTAATCAAACTTGTCAAAAGTGTATTACATTATTAAAATAAATTAAAAATATATAAAATAATATATAGCGCTCATCGCCTAGAAGTTACCCTTCAATACCAAAGTCACTGGAATGGTGGTGCTTTGTGCCAGAAAGCTGGCGTTCCTGGAATGGTGGCGCTCAGCACTGGCACCCCTGGAATGGTGGCGCTCAATGTTAGAAAACTATCCTTCAGCGCTATATCAGTTGACATCACATTGTTTTCATGAACTTTAATGCACTTGAGACTTGTTCTAATGATGAAATGGATTCCTTACACACTAGAATTGATGAAAGAAACATATTTAGAATTAAAACGAAGTACTCATTTGATTATGACCCGAAATTAGGTGTATTAAGTCCACTTGACAACTCCAAAAGTACCTAAACTCAAAACAATACTTTCTAATACCTATATCGTTTACGAACTGGATAACCAAGTCTAATTACACTGGTTAGCACTCTCACTCATCTCAGTTTCGTCCCAACTATCCTACTTTCCATTTTCATCACTTAAAACCTCTAAAATGACTAAAGAACTCAACCTATGAAACAATTTCACTTCTATGATAGATTTTTCTGATATAAACCTTCTAAACAAGTCCTAATTGATCTCTACCAAAAACTTTTCAAAATAGTTTATAATCCGAACAAAAAATATATAAAAACTTATTCACAAAACCATTCACAAATTTTAGAGAGATAAAGTGTACTTAAGACGAATTTAAAAAAATTTATTTATATTATAAAATTATTTTAAAATAAAATCTTTGTTTTTATTATTTTAACTGACAACAAAATAACATTTATGAATTTTTATTGTTTTAATGAATGAAATTAAATATTTCATATTTTAATATAAATGTATTGGAATAAGGATATTTAAATATACAAGTGTCATTAGGACACTTTTTAACATTCTCCAAAAGACTGGTATTGCCTATGATCTAATCATATTCTCAGAAATTAAAGTACGCATTAAAGAACTTTATATATGTGCGTAAATCTTTAATACATGAGAGATAAGTATAACTTAATTTAGTATTTATGAATGAAATATGCATTTAGTTCTTGTAATCAAATATTCTCTTAGGAAAATATAAAAATTTACAGCAAATTTATTTGAAACCCGTTTCCAAATACACAGTGAAGAAGAACTGATTCAATCTCACTCGATCATGCATATACAAGAAACATCTTTCTTTTAAAATTAAGAAACACAATTTCTTTTTTGAGAGGGTGAAAATAATCATTCTTGAATCTTTTTAATAAGAATTGTTTTATCTTCTTGAATTTAGTTCATATATAAAAACTCGTTAAATATTGGGTAAATTAAAAACAATAGTAGTCGGTGCAAGCATATAGTGTGAACATATAAAAATTCATTAAATTATTAAAAGTTTTGGAAAATGTAATAATGCATTATAATAAAATTTTGAATTTATTTCCCGTTTGCATAGATTTGTGTGTGCATCATTGTTATTACCTACAGGAAAGATTTTGTGCATTTAGTTGAAGTGTATGTTTTGAAAGAAATCTAGAAAAAGATTTTTGCGTATTTATACAGTAGCAGCTGCAGCAGCCCTACTGATTTTTGTGGTGATCCTAAGCTTCTACTAGAAGCAGGTAGTACTAGGACGTGACCGGGTCATGCCGTACATTCAATACGATATTTTATTTTTGGAAAATGACACTTGAACAACCATTTTTGACAACATTTAGACACGCACACACGTGTCAAAATCTGAGTGATCCAATTAAAAAAAATAAATAAAAATGGAACACTCAGATTTTGACACGTGTGCGCGTGTCTAAATGTTGTCAAAAATGGTTGTTCAAGTATCATTTTCCTTTATTTTTAAATGCACGTTTTGAGGATAATGCATCAAATTTTCCTTCTTTAGACGAACCTCGGCATGCATTGTTAGGATGATAAAATAATTCTCGAATAGATCTCGTTAAAATAAAGTTTCACGTCAAATAAAATAAAAAATAGACATAAATTTATATACACATAAAATATCTTTATTGAAAATAAATCTTTTAAAATAATACTAAAAATAAACTTATAAAAACTTCGTAAATACGAACAATATTTTATCAAAAACGTGAGAATTACTCGTAGAAAATAAAAATTTATTTTATATTCTATTAATTTAAATTTAATTAAAATTAACATTAATTTATATTTTATAAGATTAAATTTAATTAAAATTAAATTTTAATTTATATTCAATTTAATTTATATTATATTTTTATAATTTTATTTAAATTTTGTTTTAATAATTTATAAAAATATATATTTTTAAATATTTACGGGTATCCGCGGATATCGACGGGTACCCGCGAGTTTTAAAATACTCGTAGATGTTTTTTAAACAGGTATCCGCGTGGATAGCGGATCTGA